CCATCATTACCCATGGTTCCCATGAGCATTACTCTATCTGCGCATGTGTGGGAGGCTCATTTCGGCTACATTTATGGGTTTTTTTCTCTTGTGTGTGGACGTTCGATATACTTACTGTAAATGTGCAATGAAGGTAATGACGTTTGCGGAAACAAGATTTATTTCCCGTTTATTTTCAGGATGCATCGTTTCCACTTTATTTTCAGTTTCTGGGACACGTGTGATAACGTCCTAAGACAAACAAACACTATTAGTTATCTTTTCCAACATAATGGGATATTCCCAAGGGCAGGGGTAGGCAACCTTTCCCCTTTAAGGGCTGAGGGACTTCAGCTCCCAGAAGCCTCAGCCATGTTGGCCAATAGTCCCATGTTGGCCAATAGCTCCTGGGATTCTGGGAGCTGAAGTCCCTCGGCCCTTAAAGGGGAAAGGTTGCCTACCCCTGCCCAAGGGCAACTCCCAAAACCTGCCTGTCCATGAAATCTTTAGTGGTCTTGAGCAACTTCAGCTTGCTTACCTGACCTTACATTTAGGGGATTATGGCTGCTATCTCCCAAGGGTCAGGCTGGGGTCATAGGGAACTCTTCATGGCTAAAATATATAAGAAAAATGGAGCACATTCACTAACAGTGCCAATTCAAAGAGATGCCTGGATATTGAAGCTGGAATTTGTAGGGTGTTGTGTGGGAGGAACTTTCCCAGAGTAAGTGGTTGGAAGCAGATAGTGGTGAGGAGAAAAGTACAGTATTGGGGCTGGGTGGAACAGGTTGGTATGAGAAGAGAGGGCTGATATGTTTTGATTATTAAATGAATTAAGGAAAAGCCCACAAACTTATAGGTGGAGTATTGTTAAAACTATGCCAATGTTTGTGGATAATGGAACTTCTGACTCAAGATGTCTTCCTGTTAATACCCTTGTGTTTGGGGGGGATATTCTGGGATGAGAGGGAGTGTGGTGTAGTCGTTTGAGTATTAGACTACAACTCTGGAGACCAGGGTTCTAATCCCAGCTCAGCCATCTAAACCTTTGGGCAAGTCACACTCTCTCAGCCTCAGAGGATGGCAATGACAAACTTCCTCTGAAAAAACTTGCCAAGAAATCCCATGATAGGTTCATAGGGTCACCATAAGGCAATGAAGGCACACAACACTAAGAATTTTTTGGAATAAAGTTAACTTTGCTACATAGAAAAATTGTTCACTGAACTACTGGGGGGGGGTAATAAAAGCCATTCTTGACACTGTTTACTTTGTTTTCACATCATTGAGGGCAATTGTAAGGGTAACTTAAATATGTGAGCATTTGCAAAAAGAATGAGAAGAAATGTTCCAAACGGCACTGCTTAAAATGTTTATGATAAAAGCAATGGTATCTGTCTGAATGATAACCAGAGGCATATTCCTTATCCTTCTATGCCATTGCATATTTCCAGTCTAAACTATTAATAATTCAGTATTCAACACCTTATTTCACTTTTAGAATAGATATCAAATATTGAAGCTGCTATTTATGTGTTGGCCACAAGATGGAGCCTTTTCCATAAAAACCAGAAAGTCTAAACCATTGTGGGATGAAAGAATTTTTAAGTAACTTGCTATCTGGAAGAGTATCCAGGTGCCCAGCTAAGTTGTAGCAGGGAAGGGGGAATAATCAATTGTATTTGATTGATTGATTGATTGATTGATTTAAAAACACATTTTTTTTAAAAAAATCTTAATTAAAAAGTTAAATTACAATTAAACTAAATTTCTATTTAAAAACACAAGTTAAAAACAGTATTAAAAATTGATTAAAACAGCTTTAAAAGATGCTTAAAACATAATAACATAAAAATACTTTTGTTTGTTGTTGTGTACCTTCAAGTCATTTCCAATTTATGGTGACCCAAAGGCAAACCTATCATAGCATTTTTTGGGCAAGATTTGTTCAGTGAAGGCTTGCCAGTGCCTTTTCCTGAGGCGGCACTCAGTGGGTTTCATGGCTAAATGGGGATTAGAACCCTGGTTTCCAGAGTCATAGTTCAACACTCAAACCATTATGCCACACTGGCTCTCAAAATATATTGTGTGCATGCCCACACACACACCACTTTTCCTCAAATAAAATGACTTACCTGTTGGTGGAAAAACAGCAGGGAGGGGGCCAACCAGACCTCCTAGGGAAGTTTCCAAAACTTAGGAGCAGCCACTGAGAAACCTCTTTATTGTGTCCTCACTATTGTGTTCTATTGTGCTTGGAATAGTGACAGAAAGGAAGCCTTTCCTTGCAAATCTTAGAGAATGAGCAGGTTCTATAAAGGGATGCTGAAAAGGTCCTGGCCCAACCCCCTTCCTTGAAATGGAGTGGAATTTTGTCACTATAGTTTGAAAGAGTGTTCTTTTGTTTTGTAAACTACCAATTTGCAGGATCATAGCAATAATGTCAGATCCCCCCCCCCCTCATTGATAGAACTTTGTCAATGAAAACTGGAATTTTCAAGTGCTGAACTCTGGCCCATCATGAAGTTCTGGTTCCTGCAAAAGAAAACTCTAAAGGAAATCCATGAGTGTATGATGCAAGCATTGAGTGACAAGTGCCATCAACTGTGAAGAAGTGATGTGCCACCTTTCAGCATGGAGATTTTGAGACTGAAGATGCAAAAAGGTTTTGGAGATCTTCAACTGTGTCAACTCCTGAAACTGTTAAGCATGTTCATTACCTTATTTTGGCAGATTGGCAAATCTCAGCTAAAACAATTGCTGAGACACTAGAGACATCCTGAGAATACATTGGGTTTATAATTCATGAGTTTTATAATTCAATAGGCTAACACTTGGCTGTCAGCCAAGTGGGTGTTGAAAAGTTTGAAAACTGATCAGAAGTGAAATCGAGTGGTTACTTCCAAGCTAATTTTGCAGCATTTTGAGAGATCTAATGATAATTTCTTGGAACAACTTGTCACTGTTGATAAAACATGGTTATATCACTATGTTCTAGAGATCAACAACAGTCCATGCAGTGGAAGTACTCAGCTTCTTCAAGGCTGAAAGACCACAGTCACAATTTTTTGGGACAAGGAGGGTATTTTGATGATTAATTATCTTCAGAAGGGCCTAAGAGTTAATGCTGTTAAAACTGCTCTTACTGTTCCAATTTAAGAAAGCATTGAAGAGAAAACAGTAAGGGAAACTAAAGAAAGTTGTTCACTTTTTGCAGGACAATGCACCATCTCACAGGACTGTCAAGATGATAGATTTTTTGAAGAATTTGAGGTTTGAGTGCATAGACCAATTCACCACATCTTGCTCCATGTGACTATTTCTTGTTTCCAAGGAATAAGGTTCAAAAAGAAGGACATTTTTGAATGATTCAGAGGTGATAGCAGCAGCAGAGCACTATTTCAATGGCCAGCCATCCAATTTAATTTATTTTAATTTGTGGAAGAGTTAAAGAAAATTGAGAAATGATGTGCCAAGTGTGTTGAACTTCAAAGTGAATATGTGGAATAGAATCATAGAATCATAGAGTTGGAAGAGACCACTTGAGCGCCATCCAGTCAAACCCCCTGCCATGCAGGAACTCAAAATCAAAGCATCCCTGACAGATGGCCATCCAGCTCCTGTTTAAAGACCTCCAAAGAAGGAGACTCCACCACACTCCGAGGGAGTGTGTTTAACTGTCAAACAGCTCTCACTGTCAGGACATTCCTCCTAATGTTGAGGTGGAATCTCTTTTCCTGTATTCCATTGTTCTGGGTCCTGTTCTCTGGAGCAACAGAAAACAACCTTGTGCCCTTCTCCTTGATCTCTTCACAGGTGCAAACATCCCTGACATATAATGCTATTCCTC